GCGTTGACCCTGCGAAAGTGGACAGTTTTTGCAAGGGTTCAGGACTTCGAGCTCGCAAGTGCCCTTCAAAATACGAACACCACACACTAAAAAAAAGAAAATGTCCATCCCGTCAGTCTTGTCAGACACTTCTGACACTTTCGAGCCTGCAAAACTGCCGTCAGTCAAGGAGAGGCCATACGATAGTGAGAAATCAATGATGCTACCCCTCACGATTGCCAAGAGATCACAAGAACCGTCTTCACCTGAATAGAATGCCTGGTCATTATCGCTGTATGTAGACTGAAAATTCCACCAAATACGGCTACAATGACCGGGCGTTCCATTCGGGTGAAGACGGTAGGGAAAGCCAAAAGACAGTACATGTTGCAAATGCAGGGTGCACAGAAAACACATGAAAGGCACCATTGCAAGTAATCTCATCCGAAGATGTAAGAATCCAATGGCCCTACAGCAAAACCATTGAACTTTGTGCACAGCCTTACGCCTGCTGCCCACTTAGCTATAGAGTTTTGTTGTTGATGCTGACGCCCTCATATGTGATAGATGATGTACCCTGTATTGCATGCCTCCAAGTTACTACCTTGTGTATCAGATAACTCATTCCCCTCATGTAGATCAATGACACGTCCTTCCGTCCATGAAGCTTATTCGCCTCATGTAGATCAATGATACACCCGATATAAACGGAAGGTATGACATAGATCCTATACTTGATCATGATGTCTACAGAACAGGGACAAAGGGAAGAGCACAGCCGCAGTACAAAGTCTGCTTTCAATTTCAAGAACAGGAGGATGATCTGTGGTTTACAAAGGGTGAGCACAAGGAGGCAGCCCCCAGAACTCTCTCATTATGAGAAGGCTCACTGAGGGGTGCATATTGCAGATAGATGATAGAAGTCAATAGCTTTCTCCGAGGAAATCGAATTCAGGCCGGTGGGAGTGAAAGGATGTCCTGTGTGTCAGTGTTCAAGTCCCAGCACCCCTCCGAAGTCCAGTTGCAAGGTGCAAGGCCTCTATAAGCCCCACTGGGCCCTAAATCCGCAAGGTTGGCCGCCCTAAGTGAAGGCGGCCCTAACAAGTGACGAGAGGCCTATTTCGGATCTTCAGGCAACTGGGGAAATTCAGGCAGTTGCGCTGCGTCAGTTGGTTGAGAGCGCTCAGGCCCAGGCTACCTTTTTCCAATGTATCTGAAGTCGGCCCTGGGCCAGGCACGCGACATAAAGCAAACACAGGCTGCGGGCAGTTGAACGCTGGCAACCACTTCAGGCCCTGTGCCTGATTCCCTTGGTCTGGGGCTCGGCCACTCGGGGCCTACCGGAAGCTTCCGGTCAGAGGCCCAGCACAGCCAGGCTGCACGCAGCAGGCAGGCCACTTCCATATAGGAAAGGGCCTGCCCCCCCATTCGGCATTGGGGCACTGGCTGCATGCTGCGCAAGCGCTGCTTCGTTAACGCTGGCCAGCGCTCACGCGCTCACGGGCGAGCTGGATGAGCAGGCAGCCATAGCCGAGCTGTGCTGCTGTAAGCTGGATGGGGCGCATGGTGATCCTTGGGTGCACGTGGCATCTGTGAGTGGGAGATCGAGGTTGTGAGTGATACGAGAGACATACCTGGTGCTTGAAGCGAACGCCATTGGCCGAGATCTGCTCGTACTTCGGGGAGCTGTTGACATCACCAGCGGCATTGTAGATAGGCTAGATAGGATCTGCCATTTGTAGTCTGGGCGCAGAGTGCCAGATAGGATGTCGACATTCGTTCTTTGTTGACGATGATGAGACTATCCGATCATTGTCACTTATGAGCTTTTGCTGTGCTCTTATTTGGTGGGACTGTGATGCAATTCTGCTTTTGGTTCAAGGTCACGACTATCTGGTCTCATGTGTGTGATGCTGCTTGGTTTCTGAAGTTCGGTAGCACTCATTTTCCTTGCAATTTGGGATCAGAGCTGTGGTACAGTGCGTTCATCTGGCGCTTGTCTTCTGCCTAAGCGGTACATGCACACGGTCTGCTGAGCGAGCGGCCGTGGGAGGTGTGTAGTGAGGAGGGCAAAGGCAAGTAGGGCGACCCAGGAGGTGAGGGGTATTGCCAGGAAGGCTGCATGGTGAATATTGGGTGTTCGCAGTGTGATGAGAACTATCTGATGTGCGATTGATGCTGAGGTGGAACGGCGGTGTAATGCTGGTTGTGCTGAAGCAGCGATTGGTCATCACAATCGGCATCAGGTCATTTGGTGAGAATATCTGTGGTTGGGGGAGCTATTTTGAGGTACGTTGCACCTAACCTTATCTACCCTCTTCGACACTTCTTACAGTGAGGATGTGTGTTGTGTTTTGAGAGTCCTCTCATGTGAGGAGTCGAGTGCGCTCAACCTTGAGAGTCGGCATTGTTCACATGGAGCATCTGGAAGGAGAGGGCGGAGCTATCTGAAGGGCCCTGGACGAAGCACTTGGTCACGGTCACCATGCCAAACCACCGGGAGTAGAGTACGCATGCTTTGCTGCTTTGTCCTTTGTCTGCTGGCTGCGCTATAGATGAGTTCTGAGGGGCAGGCCAGCCCTACAGGAAAGACGAGTACCGGACGTCTATAAAGAAGTACCGGCGGGGACCTTCCATTGGCTGTGATCGTCGTCCTGTCTGCGACGTTAAATAATTCCTGAGGACTTTGGGGGCCGTCCATAAAAAACGCCTCCTGATCAGCCAATCGATCGGTGTAAGGCTCACTGCAAGTGAGGATAAATATTGTGCAGGGCTGGCCAGCTCAACAGGACTCGGGGCACAGGGGTGGGCCGTGTGCACACCTTTAGACACGCACTCTGTTCCGGATTGCTCAGGGACGCTGGCGACAAGAGACATTCAGGAAGAACTGAGGGAGGGGTAGATTCCAGGCGATAAGTTTGGGAAAGATTCCGCTCTGCAAACAGCCAATCAAATGATTCTTTTTTTTATTTATTTTGACTAGTTAGATGTACAGCCATTAACATCTGACAGACAGCATAGTAAGAATTGTTCTCTGTTCATTGTGCCTTTTGTTTGTAAACTAGTCAAAGTAGAAATAGTTTCGTTTGTAGGAATCTGAACTTACCTGTTGAACCCGAATGTGTAGACTCTGAAATAGCCACCGGTTAATTAATTAATTTATTTTTAAACCGGTCTGTGCATGACGCTGCGATAGGCATCGAGTGAGTGACCTACTGCAGACGGTGTGCAGTTCTGTAGCTTATGAGAGACAGGGAGGAAACTAGAGAGGACGACATGATCCTGCGATCAGCGAGGCGCCCGATAGCCCACTTGGCATTAGGACCAAAGGGCGACAGATTCCTGTTCCGCCAGTAGAGAGGGAGGCAGCAGCAGCAATGAAGGGCTAGGGCCGCAGAGGCAAGCAGGGCATTCGCAAGTGAGGCCGCTACTTCAGCAGCCATGGCAACTGTTCGCAGCAGGGCTCTCAGGCTAGTAGTTCAGGGACGGTAGGGTCAATAGTCGCACAGACCCTGAGTCAGTCCACTGGCGTTATGGCAAGCCAGCCATTAGTGTTGACCCCCGAGGAGGTCGCCGTACAGCGAGCAGCTGCCCGTGAGGCACAGCTACAACAGGCGTTAGGAGAGGTCAAGGCAGAGAAGGAGAGAATGCTTAGAAGAAGAGCCAGGATACAGCAGAGACAAGCGGACGTTAGTGAGTTAGGGGATGGACCTGTAACACATGGATGATGATGTGAGGACTCTGCGGTCAGTCTTGCTAGATGTACTGGAAATGCAGGACCACCAAACAGCTCTTTTACAGGACATCCAGCAGAGCTTGGCCGTGATGGTCCGGCGAGCTCAGGCAACACCATCACCATCAGGGCCCGGTGCCTGGCCCATTGTGCATCTTCCTCCTTTTGTCCCACCGGTGACTGGAGTATCCCCATACGTCTCTCCAGTATCGGTCCAAGCCGCTTCCCTAGGTATGCCATTGACAGGAGGCTTTTCAGCAGGTCTTAGTGTTCAGGTTCCAGGTCCTAGTGATCAGGTTCCTGTACAATCAATGTATTCCCAACCTCCGTTGCAGGTTGCTGCAACCGGGCAGCCTGCTGTCTCGCAGCCTGCACAGCCCCAGCAACAGCTAGTGCAGCAGCCTGGTCCCCAAGGTCCACAGCCTGGAGTGGGACAGGTACCGGGACAAAGCCACTGGGTTCCGAAGACGGCCATCGCCTCCCCCAAACCCTTTACAGGGGACAAGAGGGGCGAAGACCTCGACACATGCTTGAGGTCAATGCCAGTCTATGTCAAATGTAAATTGACCTTGCCGCACGAGGAAGTGCTTGTGGCCGCCTCCTATTTAGAGGGGAGTGCAGCCAGATGGTCGAGTGGTTTAGTGCAGCTACAGGGATACGGTCATGACTTCCGCGCTTGGGCAGTCAACCAGAAACTGGAGGACTTCCTTAAGCTGGTGGAAGAAAGGTGGCATGATCCTCAGGAGGCTCAAAAGGCCACTGCCGCGATCCTGACTTTGAACAACAGGCAGTTCAAGTCAGTAAGGGAAGCCACAGACGCAGTAGAGTGTCTGATCTGTGTTCCTGGAGTACGCTATGACCCCCAAGTCTTACTCACTGCATACCTGAGATGTTTTCCTTTGCCTCTTAGGAATCAGTTGGCAGGTGAGGCCAACATCAATATGCACAGCTTTCCCTCATTCAACAAGAAGGCCCTAGACCTAGAGGCAAAGATAGGGCATGGACATACACCCACGACGGACGGAAGGAAGAAGGCACTACCTCCCAACTCGAAGGCGAAGAGCCGCATAATGTTCATCGACAACGATGGTTCTACCATCGAGTTAGAAGACGACTTCCAGGCGGGAGCGGGTTCAGAGGCGGGCAGCGTAGAAGTTTCAGGGGGTGGAACAGTCGCTGCCTTTGTCCAAAAAGGTAAGGCGACCGGTAGACACCGTGGAGGTTCCCGGTCTAGGAGTCAAGTTGACCCCAACGCTCCTCGATGGGAGAAAGCGGGTCTCACAGAGGACGTGTGGAGAGACCGGTGTACCAGGCAGGCCTGTATTCGTTGTGGTCAATATGGCCATAAAGTTCAAGTGCCGCAGCAAGAAGGTGACTGAGAAGATCCCGCCTATGATGGGGCAGGCGTTGGGATCCTCCGCTCCCATAGGTAGCAATGTGGCCACAGTTCTGGCACTGCTCCGGGAAACACGTCCGGCCATTAGTTGTTCCTGCTAGGGTCGAGGTGGTGGACACACCCTCACCATCTCGAGAGATGGCCCAAGCTACCGACTCCATCGTCGTCCCGCAAACACATTCGGACCCAGCGATCCTCTGTTTGCTGAATGTGTTTGACTCCTTAGAGGAGCTAGAGGAGGAGTGGTCTAGATCGGACCCGCTAGGTTCTTGGACGACCATGGCCAATTCCCCTAAGGGTGAGTTGTTCGTCGGCGAGGTAGTCATTGACGGTCGTAAGGCCGGGGCCCATTATGATACTTGCTCGACGCGAAACTTCAATAGTCGCGCGTGCGTTGAGAGGCTGCGCTGAGAGGGGCAAGTGCAGCGCTTGAGTCGACCTGTGGAGTCGACCTGTGGAGTCGACCTGTGCCAACAAACAGCGCATGGTAGTCACCGACTACCTTAAGGACAATGTTTTTTCCCGTATGCGGGAGGGGAACTGAGACATCGAGTCTCGTTCCTAATCAGCGATGATCTCCCTATGGACATCTTGTTAGGTATGTACTACCTCTCGGTTGCACAACCCCAGTTTGGCTGGGATCAAAAAATAGTCAAACACCCATTGCCCAGTGGGGGAACTGCCAGATTGCTCAAATATAAAGCTAGTAGTCTGATCGAGTCCTACAGGTGCATGTGTGCGACTGCGTTTTATAATTGTTATAAGCAAAATCCAGAGGAGGGTATGTACCTAGTTTACGTCTCTGCAGAGGGTGAGCCGGTGAAAACGCCTCCAGAGATAGAGGGAGTGGTCGCTAGGTACCTCGATCTATTTGAAGAGCCGAAAAGGGTTGTTGAGAGGGAGGTCATCCACACGATAGAGATTATCCCAAGGGTCTAGCATTCCGAAGGGTAGGATCTATCGGATGTCTCCAGGTGAGTTCGATGAGCTTCGTCGACAACTCAAGGATCTCATAGAGAAGGGTTGTATCCAGCCTAGTGTTTCCCCTTACTGATCTCTTGTACTATTCGTACCAAAGAAGGGGGGGACCTTGAGAATGTGCATTGACTATAGGGGCCTCAATGCCATCACAGTGAAGAATGTCGAGCCCCTACTGCGCATCGATGACTTGCTGGATCGAGTGCATGGGTGTCGGTACTTCAGTAAGATAGATCTGAAGTCTGGGTACCATCAAATTGCAATCCGGCCCGAGGATAAACACAAACCTGAATTTCAAACCAGGTACGGTCTGTATGAGTTTGTGGTGATGCCTTACGGCCTTTGCAATGCTCCTGGCACCTTTCAGCACGCAATGAACCGGATATTTCATGACTACTTGGACAACTTTGTCATCGTGCACCTCGATGACATACTTATCTTTAGTAGGACTGTCGAGGAGCATGTAGCACACTTAGATAAAGTCCTTAGCCTCCTCAGACAGCACCAGTTCAAGATCAATCGGGAGAAGTGTGAGTATGGCCGCACCCGGATCTTGTACCTGGGTCATAAGATTTCCACGGAGGGATTGAAGCCCGATGACGCGAAGGTGGCCAGCATTCGTGACTGGCCACGTCCTCCGTCTGTGACTGAGATGAAGTCCTTCTTAGGGATGACAGGCTACTACCGCAACTTTGTTCAGAATTATAGCATATCAACCGGGAGACGTGTGAGTTTGGTCGCACCCGGATCTTGTACCTGGGTCATGAGATTTCTGCGGAGGGATTGAAGCCCGATGACGCGAAGGTGGCCAGCATTCATGACTGGCCGTGTTCTCAGTCTGTGACTGAGATGAAGTCCTTCTTAGGGATCATAGGCTACTACCGCAACTTTGTTCAGAATTATAGCATCGTGGCCGCCCCTTTGACGGACCTGACACGCCTTGACACCCCATGGGAGTGGACAGACAGGTGTGAGGCTGCTTTCAGACATCTGAAGCATGCGTTGACACACCATGAGGTCTTGAAACTTCCTGATGCTGACAAACCTTTCGTTTAGACTACGGATGCCAACCAATATGGCATTGGTGCCGTACTTGCGCAGCAAGAGGGGAAAAAGTTGAGGCCGGTAGAGCACATGTCCAAAAAGATGCCCTCTCAAAAGTTGGCTAAGTCCACCTATAAGAAGGAGCTCTATGTGATCTATAAAGCGCTGACACATTGGAGACGCTATCTCCTTGGTCACTTCTTCTACGTCAGAACTGATCACCAGACCTAAGGTGGATGAAGACTCAACCGGTACTCTCCGATGCTCTGAAAAGATGGATTGAAGTCATACAACAATATGACTTCAAACCACCGTACATCAAGGGGGAATACAATAAGGTTGCTGATGCGCTGTCGCGTAGGCCAGATTTTCTCGGTGCGCTGGTCACTGAATTTGGGCTTGAGGACAATGTTGCTCAGTCTTTGGAGGAAGCCTATCGCGAGGACCCGTTCATGGTTGAGATCATACACAGACTCGAGGCGAAGGACAAAATGACTTCTGCTGAGTTTTAGATGGTCAACGGCCTGCTGTTCCTTGAGAAGGCCAGGAATAAGTGTTTGTGTGTTCCTAATAGAGAGTCTTTGCGTAGTTTATTTTTAGGCAAATGGCATGATGCCACCGGACATTTTGGCTTCAAGAAGACTGCAGCCGACCTGTTGCAGCGATTCTGGTGGCCCACGATGATGAAAGATGCCAAACTGTATGTCGAGACTTGTCAAGTTTGTCAACGTTTCAAGCCCCGGACACAGGCTCCTCTTGGGTTTCTCAAGCCCCTTCCCATTCCGAAAATGCCTGGTGAAAGCCTGTCCATGGACTTCATGGATACGCTAGTCACCAGCAAGAGTGGCATGAGGTACATCCACGTCATTATGGATAGATTTAGTAAGTATGCTAGATTAGTAGCTATGCCAGAAACAACAAAGACCGAGTACGTTATCAGGCTATTTAAGGAAAACTGGGTTAGAGACTTTGGCCTGCCGAAGTCTATAATCAGCGACAGGGATGTCTGATTCACCACTGATCTGTGGAAGCCGCAGCTGCCGAACAAGGAACGCAGCTGCAGATGACATCTGGAAACCATCCGGAGGCAAATGGACAGGCAGAACAGATGAACGGCGCTGTTCAACACTTGCTGAGGCACTACATTAAGCCTAATCAAGTGGACTGGGATGAGAAGCTCGCTCTCATCGCCAGCCTGTACAACAACGCAGTTCACAGTGCCACGGGAGTAAGTCCTAACAGCCTACTACTAGCGTTCACACCTAGACTCCCTCTTGACTTTCTGCTACCTGAGAACCAGCCCACTGCTGCTCCAGGCACTTTGGAATTTGCCTATAGATATAATCATATGCAGCTGGCGGTAGAACACATGCACAAAGCACAGACGGCGATGATCGAATCTGAGAACAAGCACCGCCGCCCATCTATGTTCCAGGTAGGGGACAGGGTCTGGGTCAAGGCTTCTGAACAGGGACAGGAGCACGGGATCTCACGTAAGCTCATGCCACAGTACTTTGGGCCATGGGAGGTTCTCGATGTAGTTGGGAATGAACCAGACGGACCCTCACATGTCATTCGGATCCCTGGACACCTTCGTACCTACCCTGTTTTTCACGCCTCTAAGCTTGCACCATCCGAAGAAACTGATCAGTTTCCCACTGGTCGCTTAATGCTGGCCCCAACCATGGACGGAGAGGTCGACATCGACGACATCGTGGACCACAGGGAAATGCTGGTTCCAAGACTGACAGGCAGGGGACGTCCTCCGAAGCCGATGCTGCAGTATGAGAAGTTGCTGCAGAAACGAAAGTGCCAGATTCAATGAACTTCTCAGAGAACTAGCGAAGTATGGAGGAGGGAATGCGAGGTGCAAGGCCTCTATAAGCCCCACTGGGCCCTAAATCAGCAAGGTTGGCCGCCCTAAGTGAAGGCGGCCCTAACAAGTGACGAGAGGCCTATTTCGTATCTTCAGGCAACTGGGGAAATTCAGGCAGTTGCGCTGTGTCAGTTGGTTGACAGCGCCCAGGCCGAGGCTACCTTTTTCCAATGTATCTGAAGTAGGCCCTGGGCCAGGCACGCGACATAAAGCAAACACAGGCTGCGGGCAGTTGAACACGGGCAACCACTTCAGACCCTGTGCTTGATTCCCTTGGTCTGGGGCTCTGCCACTCGGGGCCTACCGGAAGCTCCTGGGCAGGGGCCCAGCACAGCCAGGCCGCACGCAGCAGGCAGGCCACTTCCATATAGGAAAGGGCCTGCCCCCCCATTCGGCATTGGGGCACTGGCTGCATGCTGCGCAAGCGCTGCTTTGCTAACGCTGGCCAGCGTTCACGCGCTCACGGGCGAGCTGGATGAGCAGGCAGCCATGACCGAGCTGCGCTGCTGTAACTGGATGGGCCGCATGGTGGTCCTTGGATGCACGTGGCATCTGTGAGTGGGGGATCGAGGTTGTGAGTGATACGAGAGACATACCTGGTGCTTGAGGCGAACGGCATTGGCCGAGATCTGCTCGTAGTTCGGGGAGCTGTTGACATCACCAGCGGAATTGTAGATAGGCTAGATAGGATCTGCCATTTGTAGTCTGGGCGCAGAGCGCCAGATAGGACGTCGACATTGGTTCTTTGTTGATGATGATGAGACTATTCGAACATTGTCACTTATGAGCTTTTGCTGTGCTCTTATTTGGTGGGACTCGTGATGCAATTCTGCTTTCGGTTCGAGGTCACGACTATCTGGTCTCATGTGTATGATGCTGCTTGGTTTCTGAAGTTCCCTATCGCTCATTTTCCTTGCACAGTGCCCATGTACATTAGTACCCGTGAAATGGGTGGGGGGCAGTTAGGTCGAGTCCAGTAGGGGCTGGTAGTTATGTCGATCAGTCCAACCCAGTTGGCAGATCATACCCCTGAAAGTCAGTGAATGCGTCTAAGGCCAAGCGCGGCCAGCAAAGGCAGGTAACAGTACTGCAAAAGTGGAAGATTAGGAACTGCAGCACAGTGCAAAGGTCCAGCAGCAGCAAGGCATCAACACAATTTCCATTCGAGCTTGCTGCAGAAGCGTCATCACAGTCTTGTTCTACCTAGCATCAGTGAGGTTGAGAGGTAGTCCTGCAGAGTAGTCAGCGGCGCTGGGTGCCACAGCTTAGCTTGAGAGAGTGAGAGACACCAATGGGAGAGGAAGACATTCAGAGAGAGGTCCACACCTAAGGGTAGCGCGCACGCACACATACACACACACACACACACACACACACACACACACACACACACA